CTTTTCAATGAGTTCTTGGAGTACTTTCTTCTAAATATCAGTTTTCTTCTGTTTGGCTTCTTTATCATCTTTTTCGTTAGCTTCTCCCTCTCTCAGTTTTTTTCTTCTTCTCTTACTTTGTCTTCATTCATCTCTTTCTCTCATCATATCTTGGCTACAATTGCTTTACTTCTTTCAGAGGAAGAAGATCCTTATAGAGATTTGATTTTCTTTGGAGAAGGATCAGGAGAAAATTTTCATGTAAGAGATTATGTTAAGGGGTTATTAAACACACATACATATATGTACCAGTCGTTCCTTAGAACTATATTCAAGAAAAGATAGATATCATAGTTTCTATCTATCCACACTAACATGATGATTTTTATGGTAATCTTGATAGGATTTCCTATGGATATGTCTATAGTTTTGGCATCATAGTTTTATCTAAAGCAATGGCTTCAGAAGTGAAGTGTATGCAGAAATGAATAAGATTTTCTCTTCTAGATACAAAGTAATTGACCTAAAGGAGTGTCCATTTAGGGATGAGTAGACAAAGTAACCCCAACATTTTTTTTGAAAAAATATGTCTATTGAAGCAAACTTATCCCATTTAATCTTTGAGACACCTTCTCGTTAAGGAGGTGAATAGTTGGCTTTAGGTTCCTTTGACCTATGGGAATGTATTTTATCACCCCCAGACTGTTGGGAGTTTATGGTATGTGATAGGAAATGCAATTTGGGAGTAGGGGAGGTGATAGTAGAATCCTTTGTCCTTTTGTCAACTTTCTTTTTCGTCGCAATGGACTTTTTCTTCATGGGAGAATCTTTTAAATTCGGTCATGGAGGCTTGTTGTAAAGTTCTTTCCGAGGACTGCACAAGGGGGGTTTATACACAGGCTTCAGAGGAGTAGATGTGCTTGGATTCTTTGATCAGGTTCCTCATTTTCCCATTGTTGCAGGTTGAAGAAGGTAAGACGAACTATTTGAAACGAGGAGAGAAAGAGGTCAGAAAAGGTTTGTGAGAGTAGGTCACAATGTGGGAGAGAAAAGCGGTATTTAAGGGTTTTGAATCAACCAAATAAGATCATGAACCATCAGATCTTTAATTAAAAAGATTAATTTTAAAGTGATAAGTAAAGAGCATTAATGATAATGGCATATCCATTTAATGAAATGTTTATTATTTCGGTTTATCGATGTATAAAACCCAAATTGATGTGAACCAAAACTGTTTTTTTGAAGTTACCTTTTTCTAAAAAAGTTGCAGTCTTGGAGAGAAAGAAAAACTTGATTGAGTAATGTGTGTCTTTTATTCAGCTTTTGAATAGACAATGTTTTGAAATTAAATGTAACCGTTTATGATTTGATAAACCTTATTTTGAGAGGACAAAATATTTATAGGAGTAAATTTCGTTAAAATTTAATTGGTACAATTTCGTATATTTCTTTATTAAACAGTTAAATATCGTATTTGCCCGACTTAAACTCTAAATGTCATATTTTCCCTTCTTAATGTTTTAAAATATCAAATTTTCCTAAATCTATTTTTTCACTAGTTTTTGTTACTTAATAATCCTTTTTTTATAATTTTAAATCATTATAATTGAAAAAAATAACAAAATTAGGCAATAACGCTCGTACCTTCTAAAGGCAGATTATAATGGTAATTAAATAACAGGATCTTATTTTACCTTATATTGGTAATCAAGTACTAGAATCTTATTTCACCTTTGACCATCTTCCTCATGATCTCCAGATTGTCTTCCTCCTTCTTGCCCTGTCACACCTTTCTTCTTGAAAACAAATATTAGCTTCATTATGTAGAAGTAGAACTATCTCGAAAGTAGAAACTATGATAGGGTTGGCATTGAGAACTTGATTAGGGAAAAGTATGAAGAAAAGAGATGGGCTGCTAAAGATAGAATACCTAATTCACCCTCAGATGTTTCAAGAAAACAATGCCCCTACACAATTTCAGAAACCTACTGAAAGATGTACCCCATCAAATGAAAAAGAAATTTTAGACACGTGTCATAAAGACCGACATGCCCGCTACAAAAACCAGTCTTACTGTGCCTCCAAAAGAATCTGAACCCGTACGTTAAACATCTTAGAACTTGTTTTAAAAGATTTTTCTGTGATAATGGTAATTTGTTTCTAAATTTTTATGATACCGACTTAAATATAGATAACTATTTTTTTTTTATTTGGGAAACATATTGAAGTAAACAAAGATCACTTATATGAAATGTTATATAGGAGAGTTTTATACATGTAGGTATGCTTGTTCTTGAACAAAAACTCAAGGCATAGTAATTTTAATAATAAAAATTACATGATTAGGTAAATTTGCATAAGGCTTGTTGCTGTTAGCCTTCATGATTAACACTATTTTAAGTTTAGGTTGGGAAAATAGGATATTTAACCATTTAATAAGGGTATATATGAAAGTCCCCCTAAAATTTAATACAAATCATAAGAACTCTATTTATTATTATACCTTTTTCTTCTTGTGCAAATGACTTCTTCTGATAGAAGTGGATGTAATGAACTTGTGTACAAAATTCTAAAAAAAAAGTTAGACAAAATAAAAAACCTAAAAATAATTCTTATGTGTGAAAAAGATGACAGGGTCTTTCAAAATTGTTTCTGATATATTTTGCTGATGGACATGGAACAACTTCTCTGAAGAGGTATTAGAAAAGTCCATAGATATAAGAGACCTCGGACAAAGAGTTATATTAGTTTAACATGTTGGGATCAGGATTGAGCATCCCAAGATGTTAAGGAAGTTATTCAAGATTATTTGATCAAGAGCCTTTATAAAAACATTTGAAATTTCTAAAGTCATAGGAATGATAATAATTTCAATGTTTCCATTCAAGATGTTATCTTTAAAAAATGACATTGAATGTCAATATGTTTGGTCATAGAGTTTTAAATTGGGTTATGAGAAATTGCAATAGTACTCTTAGAATCACATTAAATTGGTATCTTTAACATACGATATCCATAGTCCAGAAGTTGTGACTTCATCCAAAGGACTTGAGAGCAACAACTTGTAGCAACGACATATTCTACTTCAGCAGCGGAAAGTGAGACACAATATTTTTCTTTGAAGGACAACTAACAAGTCATCCTCATAAGAATTAACATTCTCAAGATGCGCTTTTGCAATCAAGTTGGCATTCGGCATGATCATAATCATTGAAGGCTTGAAAATGCAAGTCATATCCAGTTGGATACCATGAACCTAGGGATTTTGTTCCCCGAAGATATTTGTGAATTGTTTTTCACTGTAATGAGATGGGATGCCTTAGAGTTTTCTTAATATCGAGCACATTGGTAAGTGGTGAACATGATATCATGTTTGGTGTTTGTGAGGTATAGAAGAGATCCAATCATTCAATGGTAAGTCTTTTGATCAAATGATTCTCTAGATGGATCAGCAGACATTTTTGTAGCGAAGGACATGGGTATTATTGATGATGCATAATTGTAAAAAAAAAATACTTCTTAAGTAGTTTAGAAATGTATTTCTCTTGATGAAGAATGGTACCTCGTAGATTTTGTTTAACTTGTAGACCTAGAAAGAAATTCATTTCACAAATCATGTTCATTTTAAATTTACTTACCATGAGATTTGAAATGTCACCAACCATGGATTCATCAGTGGATCCGAAGATGATATTGTCACCATAAATTTGCAAAAGCATCATATGCTTCGGATTAGATCATCGAAATAAAGTTAGATTGATAAATCCTATGATAAATCTAGAATCTTCCAAGAACTTTGTTAATGTCTCATACCAAGCACAAGGAGCTTTTTTGAGAGAATAAACACCTTTCATATGTTTGTACTTGTGGTTTGGAAGATCTAACTTTTCAAAGCATGGAGGTTGTTGAAGGTATACTTCTTCTTTTAGTTCTCTATTGAGAAAAGTACTTTTAACGCCCATTTTATGTACTTTGATGTCCTTGAGAGCTGCATAATCCAGGAAAATATGAATAAACTCTAGTCTTGTAGCATGAGCATATACTTCATCATATTCAATGCCTTCTTATTGATTATAGCCCTTTACAACTAATCTAGCTTTGTTCCTTATAACAATTCCTAAGTCATCATTTTTTTTTCAAAATACCCAATGAGTTCTAATAAATTATTGATGCTTTGAGGGATCTACAAAAATCAAAACCTTATTTCTTTTAAATTCAGTCAGATCTTCTTTCATAGTTGTGATCATGTTAGAATTTTCTAATGCATTATGGATTTTCTTGGCTTTAACTAATGAGATACATTCAAAATAGTGACCTTCATCTTGAATGGATTTGGTTGATCTTGTTTGAGCACAAACAATAGAATTGCCAATGACTTGATTTGGAGGATGATATTTAGTCCAAATATGAAGATGAAGAGTATAATGATTGACTGCAACAGTTGATGTGATATATTGAGTTTCACCATGAGAATCTCCACAGACAATCTCGATAGGAATCAGAGGCTCCTCCTGAATACTTTACCTCCTAGGAGATGTGTTGTCAGAGTGCTCCTCCTCAAAATTTGAATTCCTTGAACAAAGAGATGAGTTGGTATTCTACCTTGTGACACCCCCCATTTTCATAACCAAAAAAAGAACTTCTTTATGCTTTCAAAATTCATAATATATTTTATTTCTGGAAATTCCCAATGTATTACAATGTTTTGATCGTCTCAAAATAAATAAAACTTTAAGGATGTCATAATCAATACATAAAATCTTTTACAACATAAGGACCTAGGGTTCCTAAACACTATTGTCGGTCTTCTCTTCAGTCACTTGGCATATAAATCTTCAACAGTCTTAACACCGCTACCTGTAATGCATATAACTGAGTGGGTCGGATATATCATATCTATACGACAATCTACCCCATCATGTCGATCCTTACATACTAATCCTATACAATGACCTTACAAAATTTAACCAGTTGGATCAATGTGAGCAAAAGGTTGACTATGTTGCTTCAGGGATTCCCTA